TGAACCATAAGCCCAAAGTAAACTATTCCTCCTCTAAGTTATTCTTGTTAGGTATATTGATCAGCAAGGAAAATCCAACTAACACAAAACGTTGTGCAATGTATACATCTATGGAAACCCCACACAGTATCTCATTAATATGTATACTTTTGATGTTTTTTATGTATTAGTTAAAATATATTTAATTAATAAAACACAAACATCATACTTACCCTTAAATGGGATAGTGAATGCAATGGAAAAGAAAGTTGCTTGTGGGGTTCTGATAATGTCTTTTACTTTAGTGGGTGATTACTGCATAGTGATTCTTTTTATGAAAATTCAATTAAGTGTATATACTAATTATTTGTATAATTTTCTGTTTGTTATCTTTCAAAATAGGTTTACTTCAGAAAAGAACACCTATGTTATCTAATTTAAAGCATAATCACAATTTGGGAAATAATTATGTAAACTAATTAATTTAAAATACATGAAATATGACTTTTTAAAGAATTGAAATAGTGGTTTGGCATTTAAAAATATATTAACATTAAAACACATTAACATATTTCTGAGGAAGAGTTACATAATTGTCTCCATAGATACATACAATTAATTCTATAAGAAACAATTCAATAGTTGCCATCCATTCACAGTGAAATTTATTCTTAGTAAAGTGGGAATAGAAGGGAAAACCCTATATCTATTCCATTTTGAACTTTGGAAAAGTGTACTTATTAAGAATCTATAGCACACAAGATACCAGTTTAAGAAGACTTAGAAATGATCTCATTAAAGTCAGAAAGAGAAGGTGTCTATCATCTCTGCCAGCTTATGTCAAAATTGAAACATTAAGACATAGACAACAAATAAAAATAAAAGACATAGAGATGGGAAGGAAGAAGACAAAATTATTTTGTGTACATACGATATATTATTCATATTAAATAATAACTAAAATTCTGATACAATTTATAAACTATTAGAATTAATCTCTCTATATATTCAACACAAAAATAATATCTCTATAGAAAATCACAAAGGAAGTAAAAAAGTCTAATTTAAAAAATATATATACTTTTCAAAAGAGCAACTGAGTGTAATTTTAAAGTGCTTAGAACTCATCTAATGAGATATAAATATGGAGTTCTTAGAGAAGATGATATAATTTATTAAGGAAAATAAAGGAAGACCTGAATAAGTGAAGCATTGTGCAAAGTAGATGAACAGGAAGACTCGATGTTATGAAGGTGCCAATTAATCTAAAACTCCAATGCCATTCCTTATTAAAATCTTAGTGCCATTTGTCCATGGAAATTGCAAAGTTGATCTTTGCACTCATGAAAAATTACAGACTCAGAACTGACAAGTTTGAAGGTGAAAAATACATACTGATAATCTATGCTATCAGAGATTTTACCCTATAGCAGTTGAAAAAGTATGGCATTTGGTACAGGTAAAGACAAAGCACATAAATGAATCTATATGTATATGGGAATTCGGTTTATGGCAAAGGTATGCGTGGATTGAATTTATGCTTTTCAATAGACTAAGCCCTATAGATTATATTCAATCTAAAAAAAAATAATAACGCAATGAAAGTTGTACTTGCTACTGACAGTATCGGTACTCTATTCAGATTCCCCAGGATTCCCTTCCATTTTTGTACACCCCTCCTGAGTACCCATGTAATTCTGCTACTAACAGTCAAAGTCTGCTTTTTCTGAACTTGGAGTCCAGAAACTTTCAGGTGCTTTGACTTTTTCACCTCTTCTCCCCCTCACCAGACCCATAATCATGCCATTTCTGCTTTGAGAAAGAAAAATGAAAAAGAGGAAAAAAATCTAAGCCCACCAATTAAAATTTTACGTACTGAGTGGACTGACCTTCCTTTCTGTCCTCCAGGGATATCAAACATTCACGTGGTGCCTGCATACAATGCAGAATGACCTATAAGCCAGATCCATGTTTTCTCTTTCTCTGTCAACTGATGGGGCCATCATGGCCGAAAGAGAGAGAAAACATAGTGTAGAAGAAGTTAAGGCCCAGAGAATTTGTGCCACTTCTTTGTGTAACTTAATTGGTATCCCAGTGCCCATTAGGAAAATGGTGGAGAGCTTCTGTATATTCCCACCTTGAAACCTCTTGGGTCAGACAGCATCCTTTAATGATAGGAAGCTAAGGCTGCATGTTAATGTTTGGATCCATGGTTGAATGTTCAATTTCTACTAAAGACCAGGAACAACTAAAGCCTTTCAAACGGAGAATAGTTACCTGCAGAGAATGTAGTATTCTGCTAAAAATTTATGAATCTACAGTGTGATTCACCCACAGGGGTCAATCAAATATCACCTTCAAATGTCACCTCTAACTGCCATTGCTTCTGCCACTACCACTTCAAGTACTCTTTGTTCTTCTGGATCATATACTACAAGGATAGGCTATCTCTAGCTCATACCAATTTCCCAGATGACCTTATTCAAATTTAACATGTTTTGAGTGATTTGAAAAATGAATCAGAGGTCTTATTCAAATGAAGAAGATGTTGCTTCCCAGTCTCTGTCCTTCTATTTTAGTTGCAGGAGGAGCCAGAGGCAACAACACATTCAACATGCAAAGAATATTTTGACATGCTGTGCATCACTGCATTCATAAGAATTACACTGAGATGAAAGGTCCCTGGATTTATAGGATCCATTCTCCACCCTCTGACAAGTAAATGTTTTACCAATATATTTGACATAGCAGCTACTTTCTGCTGCCCTGGTTCAATCAGCATAATATCACTGTGATAAAACAGCATGATGTCTCATGGAAGGAACAGGAAATCAACATGCCTGTGGGTTTAACTTTGACACAATCTGAAGACATACTATATACCCTGAGTTAGGTGGCTGAAGAGATCTAAAGAGAAAAGTTAAAGAAAGAACACTGCAATGTGAAGTTAGAGAATGTTGGCATTTATAGTGGGTAGGAAAATTAAACCTTGAGATAATCCAAGGAGAAAAAGAATGAGAAATAGAAGGAGACCTAAGAGAATGCTATCTTAAAAAGGTTAGAGAATCAAAATAACAACAAGGAGTTGTGGGTAGCACTAAATGCCACAGGCAAAGCTTTGGAGCATGACCGGTTAGAAGGGTGCATGGACTGGGGGTACAGTACAATAAAGTCTCAGAGAAGATGAGAGCTTGTTGAAGAATAAACCTTAGTAAAAATTTTATGAAAAGTAATAATTACTCTAATTTACAAAACTCTCATTTTCTGAGGATTTTTAATAGCAAATTATTTTGTTCTTTCATGAAATATTATTTTGTTATACATATAGTATTCTTGTGTTTTTTTCCCCAATAGTTCCAGTTAGGCTTTTTTAAGCATTCTTAAAAATACTTGGATTTTCTTTATTTGCTCTTGATTTGTATATCTTGTGCTATTGCTATTCTGATGATTTTCCTTATTTATATATGTCTGTAGTTCTATTTTTAACATTAATCTTCAAAAATAGTGTGATACGATATTTAGTATTTAATCATGTACATTTGATTTATAGCTCCTTCATTAGAAAAAATTGCTCTGCAATCATATTTCAGAGATATTAATGAGAAAATATTTTACTTACACAACAACAGGAGTCTTGAGTTATGGGGAAATGAAATTATTCTAGTCTTAAGAATTTTACAAGATAGATGACAAATAATAGATAAATAGAGAGATACAGAAATATCCATATATACATATATAAACCTATCACATTTAAAACTGTAACTCAAAAAAGACTTCTGCGTTTTTATCTTTGTTTCTTACAAACTATTTTTAGCTCAAATTATCATTTCTCAAACTATTGCTTGTAAAACTTTGTCCTATCTCCCTGCCTCAACTATTCCTCTCTGTATCTCCTTTACTGATTGTTACAGTTTTATAATAGATGTCCCACCCCCAAGAAAAAAAAAAACTCATGTGTGAGACAGTGAAAGAAAATTCAGAGGTGAAATGATTGGGTTATAAGAACTTTAGCCTTATCAGTACATTAATCCTCTGATAGGGATTAACTAGGTGGTAACTATAAGCAGGTAATGTGTGGCTAGAGGAGATGGGTCAAAGGGGTTATGCCTTATAGGTATACAATTTGTCTTGGTTGAGCTGATATCTCTCTCTCTCTGCTTCCTGGTAATATATCCTAAGTGGCTTTCTTTCCTCCACACTCTACTGCCTTGATAATCTACCTCATCTTATGTCTTGAGGAATGAAAGTGGCCATCTGTGGACTGAGACCTCTGAAACCTCAAATAATCTTTTCCTTTTTTTTTTTTTTACATTTGTCTTGTCAGGTCTTTGGGTGACAGCAGTGAAAAAGTTGACTAAAACACTAATCAAATTAATGTTGAATTCTGAGTTATTTGGCCTGTTTGCTTTTACTTAACAAATCCATCCTTCATTAGACTCAAAATTTTAGAATTTTATCAACTAATATTTATAGGACTACAATGAAATGTAGGAAGTAGTGGGATTACTTTTCTCCTTGAACTTCCAAACAAATCTTCATCCATGTATAGTCAAAGCAAGTAAAATTTTACCCATGTATTTCTAAAAGATTTCTCTGAATTGCATTTCACAGGAAATCACCTGAACTGAATATTAACAAACATCAATCATATGAAGAGATGTTAAGAGAAGTTGTGTGGTCAAATAAATTCAGTAATTTCTATGATCTTAAAATGCAATGTAAATTGGTAAATAGGGTACACTATTCACATAGCATTTATAAAACTTAAAAGATATACTTGGGGTATAGTTCAGTGATGGATGGTAAAGCACTTTCTTGGTATGTGTGAGGACCTGGATTCAAACCTGCCCCCCAAATAAATAAATAAATATAAGACCTTCTGAGATAAGAACTTTTTAATGTCTTTTCATCTCCTTATGAAAAAAGAAAAGTGGTGGTCTTCAAATATTTTTGTTCTGTTGCTTCCTAAAATTTTAATAAGTTCTATATTCCCTATCCATTTAAAGTTCATACCTAAAACATTTCAACTTTCATTTAATTAATTGCATAGATGGAACATCCAACACTATAAAAATTGACATTTTAAATAAAACTGTTATATCACTTTTTAAAATGCATCCAACAGACTCTAAATACCATAATGATTTTCTATCCCTGCTTACCCACTGAATATATATGTGATTAAATTATTTAAGTTGGAAATTTTATACCTTTATCTCTTTGATCTTATATTTAAGTTCTAATTTCAACACGCAATTTTAACCTAGTGTAATGTGTCGTGTGTAAATTTTTTTTTTATCTTGATCCATAAGGAATGTGTTAACTCCCTTCCTCAGAAACCTAAATTGCTCCAGCTAAGTACGTCCACTTCACACGGGTTGCCACTTCAAACTGCTGCATCTTGTACTCCAATTTCTACCACTTGCAGGAGGCTGACAAGACAGAACACAGAATTTTATTACTTAGACATAGGATGCAAGGGACAGAAGAAACCCAGCATCTATCACAAGAGGCTCTGAAGGCATAGGAAGCTGCATGGCGGATGAAACCTTGTCTGCTCCACTTGAACCACAGCTGAGGACCTCCAGAAGCAAACCCATCATGGATTTTATACCCCAGAGGCATTATGACACATTAGGCCTAAGCATTATAGGACATCCTGATTGTAGGGGAAGCAGGAACAGAGCCAAGGCTATGCCAGCCACTTCCTTCTTCCCTCAGAACATGTCATTCCCAGCACACTCTATAGTTATTCTTGAGAACTATGATCCAGAAAAAGGAGAAACTTGAGTAGATCCAAGGCCACTCAGAGAAAAGTATCATAATTTCACAGTTTAAAATGAAAGGTTCTGCAATTGTCAATCAGCTTTCCCTATCTTGGCCCATGATGCTACTCTTTGTTTTATAAAAGTAAGGATCTCATGATTCCCATCCCTGAGTTTTTCTTTCAGGTGTCTATCTGTAGAAGCCCTTCAATTTTTCCAGATGACCTGTTCCTTTTTCTTCCTTTCTTTTTTTTTTTTTTTTTTTTTTTGGTACATCATCTCCTTAATTTATGATTGCTGGAAATTTACACATTGTGAAAGCTTCACTCCAACTTTTTTTTTTTTACATAGTCGTGCAAACTATCTTTTTTTTTTTTTACCTTAAATAGGAATTACATTTTCAGTCCTATTATAAAACTTTATTGGAAACTGTCTCATGACACATCACATCCTTCTTCATAGCTTAGTTACATACATGTGTCTTGCCTCTCCTACCTGGATTCTAAGATACTTGAAGGTGGAACACATATACCAGTTGACTTTATATACATCACAATAAGAGCAAAAACATTTGCTTTAATTTAATCAGGAGACTTATTATTAAGATATTTGTAAATAAGATATTGACCTTAAGTTTTCGATCCATAGAGCTTTCTTATCAGCTAGGTATTGCCATGAAAATGCTGATCAAAAAGTCAAACCCAAAATGTCAAATAATTTCCACAGCATGTATTTATTGTTCTTGCTTCTCAGGGCGTGGGTTAGTTGAGGTTCAGCTGATGAGGTGAATTCAGCAGAGCCTGGCTCCAGACTGCATTTCATCCTTGAGTTTGGTGGACATGTCTGGGTCTGAGACTTGGGATGAAGGACCAGCAACTTCCCAACATATGTAACTCCTGGTGATGACAGAGCACAAAAGGGCAAACCCAACCACACAAGCACATTTCAAGCCTCTGCCATGTCAATCTTCCTAATATCTCACTGGAGAAAGTAAGTCAAATGCCCTAATAAAAGAAAGGGCTGGGAAGTGCATATCACCTACAATGAGAAGGCTGTAAAAGCATAACATTGCTACAGTGGAGGATTGAAGCAGGACCATGGGACATATGGTATTCAGTCTCCCATGGCCACAAAACTGTTAATTGTATGAAAAGTGATAAATGAAAAAAAATTATATAGAAATTAAAGTTCTGTCTTGTTTTCTTTTCCCCAATAGAAGAGATGACAGTGCTGACTTATTATGGTTAACTGTTTGCCAGAAATGTTGGAGAGAGAAACATATGAGAGGAATAGGCTACTCTGCATAGGAACAGAAAAGGGATAGATTTTGGGGTACATAGTATCCTCAATCTAATGTACAACACATTCTTTGACAAGTTATTCCACATTTATTTTATAAGATAAAAGGCTACCAATATTAATTTAACATTGTTAAATAATGCTTTATGAAAAGTGTCCTGCCAACTTGTACTATTTACTTAAAAAGTGTTTTTGAACAAAGGGGAAAAAATGGATAATTCCTTCTTTCTTCTATCCTTTCCTTCTTCCTTTCTAATTTTTATTTGACAGATCTCCCTAAAAAATAGTATCATGTACATTACGAGATATATGTAAATATAATAGTTAACATTGTATATGTACATATGTGTATACGTATACATACATATATACATAAATTAAAGCAAATAGTATAGAAAAAGAAAACAAATGCTTACTGAAGCAAGAGAAGCAGAATTGATTCAGCCTGTCTCGTTGTCTCTGACTGCACCATAGAGAAGCTATTTGCTTTAGAACTACCCCAGGCTAGGCTGGGAAGGGCATAGTGACTCCCATCTTTAGTTATCATAGCTCACCCATCCAGATCAGGGTCTTCTGACACTCTTCCATTGTCGTTGCTGTCCTAAGGCTGTGACATGCAGGATTGTGAAAATGAAATAGCAACATCTAACTGGCTTCTGCTGTCCTCTACTGCCACCTGTATGCTGGAAGCAGACACCACACCATGTAGTGATCTCTAGGGCACTGGATGCACCTTCTGTGGCCAACCTTGAGAGATATGGTAGAGGAACGAGTCCTGGTGAGTACAATCTTAGAGAGAGAGGCTCCTTATCTTCTGTAAAACTTCCCTTTGTTAAAGAGAGAGAGAGAGAGATCCTCTTTGATAGAATTTAAGCGAAGAAGAAATACACTTGACCCAGAAAGGGAGCCCTGGTTCTCACATTAATTGATACTATGAAAAACCATTGACATCATTCAGCTAATTCAATCAAATCATAAAATATATTAGAAGTGAAATTAAAAATATCATGTACCCTATGATATATATGTAAATATACAGGGCTCTTCTCTGCCCTGTTGATTATAACTGCTTCTGAACTAGAATTCCGGATTACCAGAAAAAAAGAAACTGAGTCACGAAGTGGACTAATCAAATCACCTAGGTCTTGTAACTCAAGGATGAAACTAAAGTCCTTTAAGTAAGCTGTAGTCTCAAAATTACATGTAATACCATTGTGACTATTGGCTTAATTCATCCTATAAAGCAAATCTGTAATTATAGCAACTGATAGTAAAACTGCTCTATCAGGAAAGTTCTAACTTCAAACATTCTGTCTTATATACCATGTCAAAAAAATATGTTTTGATTTTGAGGTTTGAGGAACAGATTGATTTTATTAAATAAGTAATTCCATTTTTTTTAGAAAAAAGAATATGGACTGTTTTGTAATGCAGATTCCAGTGACTTAGGTGCTACATAGCTTCTTGTCATAGTTCAGGGACAGAACAAGTGGCTTTGTGCATGCAGGGCTACAGGGGACACAAGAAAGTCTCCTTAATCACAAAACACCTCTGCAGAACATAATAAGAATAGGAAATGCATTGACAGATATCTAGTCAATACTAATAGTCAAACTATATGTTCACTTATGTTTCTGAGAATGTATTTTGTTTACTTTTATTTCCTTTTTCTAGAGTCTCAATAGCATAGCAGTATACATCATTGAAAAAAAAAAGAAGAAAGAAAGTGATATAGGAAATCTACAGACAGATGAACCCAGACGCTCCTTCTGGAACCCGGTAATTTGACGTAGATGGAGAATCAGAAATGTCTCCATGGGCTGCCCTGATGTGTTTGAGGGTCACCCGGTTGTACTTTGGCCATGTGTAGTCTTGCCCACATTAATGTAATAAAAATTAAATTAATGCACACCTGTTTTTTTTTTTCCTTTTGTTTGCTCACTGTCAGTAGTTCTGAATGTGCACTGTCGGTTGGCCTGGACTAAATTCAGTCAGCCTCAACCACAGATCAAATACTGTCAACATTCTGCTGTATGGCTTTCGACAATTCCTTTAACCTGTGAGACACAAATTCCTCATTATTAAAATAAGGTTAACGCTAGCTGGTACGTTTTAGCTAATTTTGTTAAGAAAACTGGATAACCTATATCCAGTCTGCCTATAATATCTGCCTATAAATATAAACCTCCTAATATTACATTCCATTTTTATGTAAAAAGCAAAAAAGACAGAGGGAATTCAAGTATTCCCTTTATGATGGATAATTTTTAGGGAAAGTTAATCCATAAAAATCTTTAATGAAAATAAGAATAAGGTAAGAAATATGGCAGAAGAAGCAAGAAATTTCAATGAGTTACTAAGGAATTGAAATATCATGCATAATGTGTTGAAACCAGATTACAAAGCAGTTTGTCACTTAATACGAGTGTAGTCCCTTAAGCTATCTGAGATTTTTGTTTGTTTGTTTTTGTTTTTAATAAAATGGGGTTTGTATTCCTGTCCTTCAAATTTTATTGAATTATTGTAACATAATAAACAGATCAAGTAAAAGCAGCTTGTAAGTGAGAAAATAAATTACAAATTAAAGTTTTCATATGAGAAAATTAAGAAAACATGAGAGTCTGATCTCAATTGTAATAGCTATTATAAAAAATTAAAATTACTGGAAAGAGGAACACTGGTACGCTGCTGGTGAAAACAGGAATCAGTAGAACCGTTATGGGAAACAATGTAGACATTCCTCAGAAAAACAAGAAATAGATATCATGAAATCCAGGAATCCCAACACTAAGTATATATCCAAAGGAAATTTAATGTGTACATTGAAGACACATCTATACTCTCATTTTTATTGCAGTAATATTCACAATAGTGAAGATATGGAATCATCCTTGGCTTTTATTGAGGATAGATAAAGAAAATGCAGTATAAATAATGGGATACTATTCAATCACTTTAAATAGTGGATTTCTATCCTTTGTGGCTGGAACTAGAGGACATTGTGTTATGTGAAATAAGTCAGAAATAAAAAAAATAAATGCTACACTTTTCACTTACAGGTGGAGCTAAGAATTTGATCTCGAACAACCAATAAAAAAAAAAAATGTACAAAGGATAGTGATTACCAAAGCTATGAAGATGTGGGGAAGGAGGGTCGGAAAGAAGGTGCTCAGTGTGTATAGGGGTATGGCTAGGTATGAGAAATAAGTTCTAATATTCTATAGCGCTATAGGGTGAATGAAGTTGACCACAATTAATTGTGTATTTCAAAATAGCTAGTATAGAGTATTTTGGATGTTACCAACACAAAGAAATTATAAATATCTGAAATGATGGGCATGCCAATTACCCTGATCTGATCATTGCTCATTATTATACATGTATTCAATGTCACCCTGTACCCTATAAGTATGCAACACGATATGTCAATTGATAATTAAAACATTATTTTTTAATCTTAATATCTACTTATAGGGGTTGGAATTTCATCTAGTCTTTGAAGAAATAAGAGCTTTCAAATGAAGAGAAAGGAAAGGAACTAAAGGATCCATAACCATATCCAGACCAATGATTCTCAGTGAGTATGTGTGTGTGTGTGGAAGTAGCTACCCTGAAGACATTGGTCAATGTTGGAGATATTTTTGGCTGCCACAACTGGTGGGGAGTTCTAACTAGCACTCTACTTAGGTTAAGGTGAAGAACAACATCAAGCCAGGTGTAGTGGCACATGCCTATAATCCCAGTTTTTCAGAAGGCTGAGGCAGGAGGATGGAGAGTTCAAAGCCAGCCTCAGTAACTTGGGAAGGCTCTAAGCAACTGAGTTAGACCCTGTCTCTAAATAAAATATAAAATAGGGTGAGGGATGTGGCTCAGTGGTTAAGTGCCCTGGATTTATCCCCAGTACCAATAGTAACAGTAACAGTAATAATAATAATAATATAAAATGTACTTGAATGCATAGAACAGAACCCAAAGAAAGACTTATCCAAACTAAATTATCACTAGTGCTAAGGTAAGAAACCCTGCAACAGAAACATAGGTCACTTTTGTAGAAAATATAGAGGTCAGTCCAAAATCTTTTAGTGAGTTATGGCTATCCAGTAGGAAAGTAATCGTTTGTATGCAATTTGTTCCATCTCAGTTATATTTCACACTCATTAAGAGGAGTAGTGGGGCTTGGGGTTATTTATCCCCTTGAGTTAGGTATAGCATCATGTCTTTATCCAATGAAATGGCAGCAGTGTGGTGAGGTGTGTCTGTGGTGGTAGTGGTGGGGCACCTATGAACTGTTTAGATCTGCTGGGAGTGATGGTACATACCTGTAAACTCAGCAGGTCAGGAGATTGAGGCAAAAATATCGCAAGTTCAAAGCCAGCGAAAGCAATTTAGCTGAAGTCCTGTCTCAGAAACAAAGGGGCGGGGGCTGGGGTTGAGGTTCAGTGGTGAACTTCTGGGTTCGATTCCTGGTACCCAAAATTTCTCTTCTCTCTTCTCTTTTGCCATGTGAAAAATAACTGATTTTCAGACATTGCAGATACAAGATGATGGAGCTTCCTGACTGTTACAGAAGAATGGCCTTGCTCTTATGTGACCTTTGCATATTTGTAATAGGGCACAGTCATCACCCTGTTTGATCTTCATGCATTTAAAACAAAGAGCTTGTCATAAAGGATGCTCAAAATTTCCTTAAGCACCAGCATTCTAAAACTGAATGAATATTCAAAAATTTGTGGTAGAACATCCTTTAAAAATTTTTTCTATCTAGACAGGTAGAAAAAATTTTAGAATGAAGATTAAGAATCCAAATTCTTAAATAATTTGGACCAACAGTCTCAGATTATGTCTTAAGCTGTTCTGATATCTTGTTACTCTAAGTAGACACATCATTTGATTGTTAGAACAGTAATGTGGTAAACATTGTCAATGGCAATGAAAATAGATGTATGAAAATAGGATTTAGACAAATTTTAGCTTGTGCTGCTCAGATAATTGAACAGCATGTGCATATATTTCTTTCCCATAAAAAACTACATTCCAAAATGGTTGGAGGACTGCAAAAGTGACGAATCATGTTTTATGCCCCAGCTACCATGCACAATCCATGGTACTGCACACTCTTGATGACCTCGTGGAGTTGTCCATGGTGCTCCAGCACATACTCCACTTAGTTTTCTTAGTAAGCATGTTTTTATGTATGATTCACCTGCTAGCAATTCACAATGCACTCAAAGAATGAAAGCACCAGGCCCTGCATTCCCTTCCCATTCTGAGTTTTTCTTATTATTGCACTTTGTATCATGAGATAATTATACATTCATATGCATTCTCTGAAGTAACATGCAGAGATCACATGCTCCTTTTGAATTGTTTACCCACTGGTTACATTTTGTAGAATATGGCATGTCCTATGCAGGATACCCATGTTGATGCATTAGCAATACAGAATGGTCCCAAAAGCAAAAGGGTTTTTCATGTGGCCCAGTTACAGTCATGTTCACTTTTCTCCATTTCCCATTCATTTTTACTCTTGCATAATATCAAGAATGATGGATACCATAGGTATTATTATTAAAATCAAACTATTAATGAAAAAGAATAGTGGGGCTGACATTCTTTCTCAGTTCCTATCA